TGTTTTGGAGGCTGTCGGTCCAGCCTGGCCTCGAACTCAGAGATCTGCCTGGCGAGATAGTATTGTTTTATGTTCATCAGATAACTCCAAGTTACTGTCCTGTATACCCTTTCTCTGCTAGTACAAGCCAAAGGCCTCTTGGATGGAAATTTCCTGCATGTCCTACGTTGTTCATTCATTCTGTCATCTGATTCCCACTTGCCCAGGGAATGGCCATTCTCAGGACTATTTCCTTGAGAGAACGAGTCACCTCGATTTTAGAAATCAACAAAGCTGTGGGCCATGTCCCCCTAATATGTCAGATGCATTGCTTTTTCAGTGGACCCCAAATCCACCCAGCCAGCAGGACCCTTCATGGTCCCCGGCCAGGCCCTCAGGAATTCTAGCCATGGAAGTGTTATCTGGGATCCAAGTATAAACCAGCCTGGCAGCATGTTGGCAGGTCCCATCATCTCCCCATGCACTGATCCTACCCGCAGGTGGCCAGGTACAGATCTCGCAGGGCAGGCAGGAGTGGGCCTTCCACTTCTGCTTCCCAGGGAGACTTGTGTGGAGCAAGACTGTTTATAGACAACGCCTTGCTGTAGCCAGAGGTGGTGGCTTAAGAACAGCAGGAACGCCTTCATTGCCTCACAGGCTGTGAGTTGAGCTTCTAAGATGCGCCCTTGGCCTCAGCAGGGAGATAAGCACCTGCATTGGAGAGGGAGCCCTTGATCGAGGGCTGATAAGCTCAGGGAAGGAGAAAAAAAACCACCCAATAACAACAAGAAAAAGCCAAGCGACCCACCATTGGAGGTTTATTCATGTACACTTGGGTGTGTGCTGTGTCTTCGCCAGCGCCCAGGGTGGTGTAAAAGCTCTGATTTTACTTTAATTTGGTGGTCACGCAATCATGGAATGAGAGCAAGTCAGAGCTGGAAGGGACTGTGGGCATTGTCTGGTTGAACCCTTTAATCTTCCAGGTGAGGACACTGAGGGCCGGGGAGCTGCAGCAACTTGTTTGGAATCACCCAACGCAGCTTGGGTAGAAGGAGAACTACACCCTGGGTCTCAGACCCCAGGGCTCTAGATCTTTCCGCTGCTGCACAGGATTACCTCACAGCCTGCCACAAACTTCTCAGGTGTGGGCTGCCAGCAGCACCCTGCCTGAACAGTCCGCTCCAATGTCACTCACTTATCTCTTCTGCCTCCAGCTCCAGGCGCCCCCTCCCTCTCACCTGCTGTTGGGGTTGATCAGTTACCCCTAGGCATTCAGGGCTGGAACTTGTCACCCCGAACAGTCAAAACCCGCTTTTTCATATTTGGAAAAAGTGAGGCTCGGCTACGGGCAGAGGGGAGGCGGCTTGCCTAGGTTGACACATCTAAAGAGAATGAAGGAGCTGGCAGGAAAGGTGGCCGAGGTTCCGGTACTAGTGGAGGGAAGGCTTGGTGTGGGAGAGGATGTGCGGGGATGCAACCTTTGCACAGAGCCCCGGATGCTGGGAAGAGTCCACACGTTGCCCCCAGGATGGAAGTGGAGTCCAGAAAGCCTGTGTGATACTGAGAGTGTCCTTGCTCTTAGCAGGCCTGTGATAAACAATGGCTGGGAGAATGGATGATTCCTTAAGGGCTGCCTGTGGGTGGGGAGTCATGGCCCAGAAGGTACTCTCCATGGCTGGTGACTCACTTTTCTCTGAATAATTTGCCTCCTGGGTTTGATCTGTGAAGGGAATGGAATAGAACAGTCTAGATTTTATTTTAAAATAACTTCTAGATGATAAGCAACTGCTATGTCACCAGCAGGCACAGGCTTGTCACTCTAGGGAGCCCAACCGTGATTGGCATGTCCCAAACTTTTTCAAAATTTATTTTAATGTTATGTGTATGACTGTGTGTATGTATGTGCACCACATTCGTGCGCTGCCTGTGGAGATCACACGGGAATGTTGGATCTCTTGGAACTGGAGTTACAGATGGTTGTGAGCTGCCATGGGGTGCTGAGACCCAAACCTGGGTCTTCAGGAAGAATGACCAGACCTTGTAACTTCTGAGCCACCTTTCCTGCCCTGGTGTGCCCCAGTATTGATTACTTTAAGTCAAATTTAGCTCAAACAATGCCCAGAAATATTTGCTATCAAAGACTGACATGTGTTTACAGTGTTATGTGGTAGATACAGCCTTTGGATTTTATTTAGCATGCATGCACACACGTGCGTGTGTGCGTGCATGTGCATGTGTGTGTGTGTGTGTGTGTGTGTGTGTGTGTACATGCATGTGTGGAGATCAGAGAACAACTTGCATGAGTTCTTCACTACTTTGACCCAGGGATGTGGGTCCCAGGGAGGGAACTCAGGTGGTCAACCTTGACAGCAAGCATTTCACTAGCTAAGCCTTCCTGCCAGACTCTAGGTACCTTTACAGTGAAAAGCAGTAGGCTCTTGTCACAGCGCCCTGGCACTCTGGCCCCATTCTCTCTCCTGTGGAAATTACTTTTAATTCCATGAGTTGTTTTAGTCCATGCATCTACATGGCATGTTAACGATGTCATTGAGTTTATCTATTTGTATGGACACCCTCATCTCTTCCTTCCCTGCCCACAACTCATCACACACACACACACACACACACACACACACACACACACACACACACACACACTCCTTTATTAACAGTGTCTGAAAATACAGTTTTTACCCCCTCATCTCTTTATGATGCGTTGGACCCCACAGTTCTGAAACGACCCTTCTAGCTCCCATCTTGTCTTGTCCCCTCTAAATTCTACTCCCCATTTCTAGCAACTATGCGGCTGACTGCCTATTGCTGAGGGTGATAGCACTTACTCCTTCCATTGTAACCTTGAATATAACATGACTGGTCCATAGAGTCTAGAAGTCGTGGTCAGAAAACAAATCGTCTTGGTATTTTACTCTGACTCTGTAAGTGTTGCAGTTCATAGCCAAGTGAGTACTTAGTGACTGCTAGCAGAGGCTTCAGGCTGCTTCAAGAATAGATTCAAATGCCTAGAATTTGAACTCATTCTACACTTCCTCCATCTTAATCCTCTTTTCTGTTCTTCCCTAGACCAATGACTCTGGGTTCTACTGGGCTGGCATTCTGGAATGTGTGTATTTGCTCCCGTGTTTTGCAACCATACACTTCCATGTAAATGCTGATATTTCTGGTAATGATTTACTTTTCCCTCAGACTTCATTATGCTCCCACCCTTTGTGGATAGCTTAGCAAGGTATAGAAGTCTGTGTTGACACCTTTAGAACGTGGAGGGATGTCACCATAGTGTTCTTAGATCCACTTGTGCTAACAACAGGCATGAGGTTGGATTTATTTCCTTTGTTTCCTTTCTTGGCAATGGCTAATGAGTGACTAAAACTTTTACTTTTTAGCTTTGTGCTCAAAAGTTTTATTATCGTATACTTAGCTATGGATTTTTAAAAAGTTTTTTTTGTCTATGTGTGTTCATGTGTAGTTGTGTGCACATACATGAAGGTACCCTAAGAGGCCAGAAGAGGGTGTGGGATCCCTTAGAGTTGGAGCTATAGATGGCTGGAGCTACAGGTGAGTCACCTGGTATGGGTACTGGGAACTAAACCTGAGGGTTCTTTTTGGAAGAAAAGCAAATGCTCTTAACTGCAGAGACATCTCCCAGCACCCCCTGCAATAAGTTAAACCAAAACAAAACAAAATAAACAATCAAGAAAAAAATCTGGGAGGCAATATTCTTTCTTTATTCTATACCATCAGTTTTCTTTGTAGAAAATTTTAAATCTTTTTTATACAATGTCTACGTATGAGTGGTGTGCATGCCTGGATACCAGGCATGTTCTTGTGTGTTTTGTTACAGATGTATATTTGTACATGAATTTGGAGGCCCAAGGTTGACATCAGGAATCTTATTTTATTGTACTATGCTTTATTCGTTGAGGCAGAATCAATCAAACCCAGAGCTTGCTGATATGGCTAGTCTAGCTATTCATCTTGCCCTACATGAGTCTTTTCTCTGCCTTCTGTGGTTTGGAACTGTAGGTTTGCCTCCAAGCCCTCCTGGCATTTACGTGGATTCTGGGAATCTGAACTCTGATCCTCATGCTTGGGTGGTAAGCTCTTTAAGGAGTGACCAATGTCCCCAGACTCTATTAGCTAGCTGGCTATAGGATCTTCCCAGCTTCTCGCATTTCCATTTCATGGCCTCAGAGCCCCTTCTTTCTGGGAGAGCTCACTAATAGTATCTTCCAAATATTTTATTGACTTTTTTTTCTTTTTCACTGAACTCTCAAGGGCTTTCCAAGTCACCTAATTGTCCCCTTTGCATTGTAAAATGAAACATTATCTTCTCCTATCTCCCAGAATTCAAGCTGGTTATGTTTGTTTCCTCCAAAATTCACCTTTGTCAGTGTATTTTGGTTGCTCTCTTAAGTACAAACCTTCCCCAAACGTCTGACGCCCCTGGCAATCACACACCTGAAAAGTGAGATACTTGTCAGCAAGTCTCCCTGCTGTGAGAAGGCTAGGGGGCTGATGGTGATGCCATGATGCTTGGCCCCGCCCACAGGTCTTCGTTCTCAAGCTCAGGTAGCTCCATCAGGAGTCCTAACTTCTTTTTATTTTTTTTTCTTCAGATTTTTCATTGTGTATGTTCATTATGCATGGCACTGTGCTGCGTAGGGGTGTTATCACAGGCGTATGTATGCTGAACACATTTCCTCCTGAACCGCCCTCTTTCCCGAGAGGCCCCTTTGTCTCCTTTGGCAACTTTGCTTCACACTATACATACATGCATGACTTTATGTGTCTATACAAAGTCTAGGAACCACACATGAGAGAAAACATTATCTGTTTATCTTTCTGAGCCTGAGTTAATTCACTTAATATGATTATCTCCAGTCACATCCATTTTCCTGCAGACGAAATAACTGCATCCTTCTTTGTGGCTGAAGTAATTTCTCTGTGTATCTGTATTACTTGTTTTTCATGCATCCCTCTGTCCTTGGCCACTTGGGACACAGCTCAGCTTCCAGGAACAGCGCTCTGGGATAGACTCCACAGCTCAGCTTCCGGGAACAGTGCTCTGGGATAGACCACACAGCTCAGCTTCCAGTAACAGCACTCTGGGATAGACCACACAGCTCAGCTTTGGGGAACAGCGCTCTGGGATAGAACACACAGCTCGGCTTCTGGGAACAGTGCTCTGGGATCGACTCCACAGCTCAACTTCCAGGAACAGCACTCTGGGATAGACCACACAGGTCGGCTTCTGGGAACAGCACTCTGGGATAGACCACACAGCTCAGCTTTGGGGAACAGTGCTCTGGGATAGACCACACAGCTCAGCTTCCAGGAACAGCACTCTGGGATAGACCACACAGCTCGGCTTCTGGGAACAGAGCTCTGGGATAGACCACACAGCTCAGCTTCTGGGAACAGCGCTCTGGGATAGACCGCACAGCTCGGCTTCCGGGCACAGTGCTCATGTGGGCATTGATGATCCTGATTCTCGTTTAGGATGTGCGGATGCATGACTAAGTCAGGATTCCACACCTTGACTTTCCTTCCTTGTCTTTTTTAAGTAAAAGGCATGGGATGCAGCGCTTAGAATGACTGGACGAGATGGGGCTCACCCCACGACGGACACAAAAGTGGGCTCCCTCCTCGCGAGCTCAACTTTCCCTTTTTGTGTCAAATCAGAAAGGAGGGCATGACACCTTCATCCCAACTCTGAGAAACAAGTTACTCCGGGGCAACTTTTCCAACAGGCCTTCCCACGAAGTACAGGGGAGCGAGTGGAAGAAAGGCAGGAAGCAGATCTGTAGCCAGCAGCCCCGGCGCTCGACACTGAAGGCTTAACATCAAATGCAGGGAGAAATCCATTTCCTCAACTCCATTGGCCATCTCGGACGTCTCATTTCAAAGAGAAAGATTTGAATTCAGAGACATTGCACACGCTTTGTTCTCTTGCCCTCCAGCCTTTGGTGCCAGTGTGGACGGTACCACAGGGAGAGGGTGAGATCAAACGCCCTCTCCACTCCGCTACCTGCCCCCAGAGCTGGCCCTTGGCATGCCTAATGAAATCAGCTTGGCTATAGGTTGACAATGCCCTGTCAATTATAATCATTTATCTTGGCAAGCAGAGTATCTGAACACTTGAAAGAGCAGGGGTGCAGCAGACCCAGCAAAACCAGAATAAAATTATACTGCATGGTAATCAGAGCGAGAGTATATTGCTCACATAAAATTTTACTTCAACTGTCAGAAGGGCCGATATGATCTTATGTCTCATTTTCTGCCTCTAGGCTGTCCATGGTTCCGTTTGGGTCTCTTTCCACTGGCTTGGGCTGTAGGGGTGACTGCACAGACCCCTGTGTGAGCGGAGGGAAGCTGCCTGGAGCACAGGGAGCTTCGGGAGTTAGACATTGCTGTTGGGGGGGCGGGGAGACTCCCTGATGGGCATGTAAATCAGGGTGATACAGGCAGGGGGCTTGAGAGGACCTTGTCCTCCACTTTGTGGCTGTGTAATATCAGACAAATGGTTCCCCCTGGCAGGGTCTCATTATACTCTTTAGATTATGAAGGACATAGAAAATGCCTCCTGTAGCCAGCCACCGAGGTAGGCCCATGCAGTCTTTTTTTGGATCCTTGTACAGTGTTAGTACGATTTCTGATGGGAGCCAGCTGCGCATGAACCCAGAGCCTGCTCCTGCCCTCTTCTCTGATGGGCTTGAGGAAAGACTGGGGAGCAGCAAACCCAGGCCACTGAAAGGGTTAGCAGTGGGAACCTGGGTGTTGCATCCCTGCATGGGGTCTGGGTTGTAGGATGGGGTTCTAGCTGCTGCAGTGAGACAGGTTAGGAGACTCTGACTCAGCCTGAACTATGGGGGTGCTGGGAGAGGGTCAGGACCCCCAGCGCAGTTGAGCTTGTGGAGGAAGCTCCACATGGAGGAAGGCAGTCAGGACTCTCAGAAACCTGGTTGGACACTGGGACCATGGTGCACAGTGTCTGCTCTCCTCCAGAACTAGGAAGTTTTCTGTTTGCCCTCCACCTCCAGTATGGGAATCAGAAGGCACTGGGCATTCCCTAGAAGGGGCCCTTGGAGGAGAAAGCTGGGGGTTCTCAGGAGTGGGCAGCTCTCTTCACAGTGAGAAGAAGGCCTAAGTGCTGTCTGTACACTCTTGGTCTGCAGAGCTCGGCTCATGAACGCGCACAGACTTGCTGCACTTGTCCGTGGACTTTTCTGCATACCCCGCTCGGACATCTGGGCGTGTTGGAATATATAAAAAGCTGAAATCTATCTGTGGCAGGGCAGGGGATCCTGCCCTACTCACATGGTCACTCCCCAACACTAATCCAGCTGCCAGCACCCAGCTTGAAGCTGGCACAGCCAGCCTACAAAACCAGAGCTTCCACTTCGTGTTTGGGGAGGAGGAAACGGAGCAACGCACGTTGCTCAGGCCTGGGGTTTGGAGTGGCAGTGCAGGTCACAGGTCAGAACCTAGGGTGGAGGCTGGGGATGGGCATGGCCTGGACTTCTGAGGAGACTGGCCAAGGATGCAGTCTCCCCAGGCCTTGCCCTGGACCACCTTGTCTTTCTTGCCCTGTCTCTTCTCCATCTCCATGTGACACGAGGGGAGATGATCATCTATATTTCACTGTTGGGGAAACCAAGGCTGATGAGGGCTAGGGATGCATTCTCTTCCTGTTCCACAAAACCTGGGTGCTGGGTGGCTAGGACATTGTGCCAACAAGCGACAGCGCTTAGCCTGGGGCAGCTGTGTCCTACAGCTTTAGATAGGGGCTATATGGAACTGGAGCCTTGGCCTGCTCAGCCTTGCTGAGTTTCTTTGCTTGTATTTTTGCCTGCCAGAGTCTCTGGTAACTGAATCTGGAGATGATGTGGGCATGGGGCTTGCTCTTTTACCAGCTGGAGCCCCAAGAGGGGCCTGGGCCTGAAAGAAGCTTCCCTTATTAATTATGGCCACAATGACTCCTGACTCATAGGAGTATGGCAACGGCAAACACAGATGCTGTTGGTGAGTACGGAGAGCCTTTTCTTGGATAAAGATGCCCAGAGAGGTGAGTTTCCTACCCAGAACCACGCAGCACTCTGGAAGGCTGGTAAAGACCAGTTATAGCTCACTCTGGCCCAGGTAGCTCCTCCTTCCTTTATGCGTGCTTTCTCTGTCCTTAGACTGGATGCAGCTGGTCTCTGGAACGTCCCTAGTAGCCTTCCCTTTCTCTATATAACACAAGTGTACCCCATGGTTAGAAATGGGCCACATAGCACTGGAAAGGAATGGAAATATTGTGAAGGTCATGAGAGTAGAATTGAAACCCCAGGCCTCAGTTCTCCCTTCTGGAGTAGAGAAGGCCTCGCTTTGTGTCCTGTTGCTAGGGGAAAGAATGCAGGTGCTTGGTGGGAGCAGGCTCCTCTGAGAGATGAGTTGGGAACTTTAGGGCTGGTGCCCATGTTCCCCTGAGATCACAGGAAGCTGACTGGGGTCAGGAACCTGCTGTGTGGGTCAGGCAATGGGGAAGTGGTGACAGTGTCATACTGGTCACTGTGGGATCTTTGGTGCGAGTCTGGATGCTATTTTCCATGTCTTTCCTCTCCCTACCTCCTCTCCCTCCCTTCACATCACCTGTCATTTGTTGCAGAAACACGCTGTGCATCTTGTTGGAGATGCGGTCACTTGAGGGGCTCAGAGACACTGGGGTCCTTGATTGAGTTGCCTCTGACTTCCAGGATCCTGCTTACCCTTGTGGTCTTCCCAACTTTGACTTTTCCAGAGGCAATCTAAGCTTCTTCCTCCGAGTTGCTTGTGGTTGTCCACGGGATGGACCCAGCTGGGTGTGTACAGGAAGTTCATGTATAATCTGTGACATGGCTTTCCCACGGCTCTTTATGAAGCATGCCTTCTGCTTGGAAGCTGTCCCTGAGTGGGTGGAAATGAGACCGATCCTAAGGCCAGGAGCCTCAGATGCAAAGGCATTAGCAGAGAGCTTCAGTATCCTCGATCAGTTTGAACAAACTTGAGGTAGTCAAAGTCCAACAACCCCAATGATCCTATCCTCACCCTCTTCTGGGACCTCTGTGATATGTAAGAGACCTCTGTGTCAGCCCTTACTATTTGGGGACTATTTGGGGACACCTGGTGTGGTGTCAGGCAGGGCGAGGGTATGATTTGCAGCTTGCCTTAGCTCGGCTGTGTCTGATCTTTCTTGACAGAAATCCTTTGTGCAGCACACACTGAGTGTGTGCTCTGTTCCGGGAACTTGTGGACCATGGATCCCTACCCCACCAATGAGGGTGCTGTTGCCAGTCTCTTCCAGAAGGGGAGACTAAGCCACTGAGAGCTCACATAGCCGCTCCAAGCAGAGTTGCCTGTGTTCTCAGGGACTCCCGAGGCAGACTCTGTGTTCCTATCCTGGATAGCACCTCTAGCTTGTTAGAACTAAAGCCATCCAGGTGTGGGACGAGGAGAAAGCCCAACTGAGAACAGGTGGCTGTGACATATCATCCCTTTCTGTCACTGCTGTCCCTTCTAGACTGTGGCACGTGTCCTCCCTACTTCCTTCCAGTCCCTGACATCGTGGGAGTTGCTTTTGGTCACAGATGTTGAAGGTAAGTGGAGGTTATTGGGATGTACTCCGGGGGTGATACTCTCCTGTGCTCTGTGAGCCACCACCACCAGCCTCTTGACATTAGGGGAAGTGCAGGGCATCATGGGAAGGTTGATTCAGGAGTCTGTACCCTCGGATACTCATTTGACCTGGTCAGGTGATACTAGGTTGCTGAATAGAGCTGGAGGAAAGTTCAAACTATCTTGTTTTGGTGTTATCTAAACGAAAGGCTAGATTTGATTATGAATTTTGTAGCTTTCCAGCTACAATATACATATATATATGTATATATATATATCTCACTTCCTTTGGGAAGTGGGGTTGGTAGAGCATTTGCCCAGCATTTGTGAGGGCCCTGTTTGATCTTCAACACTGTATATACCAGGCGTGATGGTGCAAGCCAGTAATTCCCGAATGGTGGAAGGATTCTCTTGGAGGCAGGAGAGTCACAAATTCAAGGTCATTCTCAGATCTACACAAAGTCAGAAGCATGCTTGGGCTATGTGACACCCTGGCTCAAAAGCAATCGAATAGGTCAGCAAACAAACAAAGAAACCTTTGGCCACAACGTGAATGGAAACAGGTCATCACGTTACCTGACCTGAGGCAGGCACAGAGGGACAAGTGCTGCACACCACCTGGTTTCATGTGCGGACTCAAAGATTTTGCTGCCCAGAAGTTAGGAGGCAGTGATGACTACCAGAGGCCAGGGAGAGAAAGGTCAATGATACCATGGTCATACGGGAGTGAGACGCTGGCCTGTGGTCACACAGTAGGGTGACTAGAGTTACCATCACACATCATTTTTCCAAAAACCAGAGCCAAGGGTCTTGACAATTTTCCCCAGAAAGAAACAATTAAGGTGAGGAGACAGGCATGTTTGGTTTGACTTAATCATTATGTAATCTGTCAGAGTATAATATGGCACCCCATAAGTACATAGAATTTTATGGTTTTGTGAATTATTTAAAATAGATTTACATGTTTAAAGCTCTTGGATTTACCCCCATTCATTCTGCACATACCATGCCCTCTCAATGCCCTTCCAGTGCTGGAGAACACAGCTATCGCTGCTGGAGCTCATGTTTGACCATTGTGCTAAAGGGGACCTACTGGGTGCAGGTAATTTCTTAACATTTATTTGTAATCAGCACGTGGAAGCCAGAGGAAAACTTGCAAGAGTTGGCTTTCTCCTCCCACTATGTGGGTCCTGGGTTTTGAACCCAGGTTGTCAGGCTTGGTAGCAAGTGCCTTCCCCCAGGGAAGCATCTTGCCAGTCCCAGCTATAGATTGTTGGACTTGGGATAATGGGAAAGCAGATCCCTTTGGTAATACTTCACGGGCATCCCTTTTGTAAATATCACTGTCAGCACCTAGATTTGAGGTGGAGCCCAGCAGGTGGAGGCCCACAGGCAACCGCAAGGAGAGGAACATGGCGTGGCTTATATCCCCATGCACCAAAGCTGCACTGTGTTTATGCCTGGAGAGTTGGAGTGGCCTTCCCTGATAGGGTTTCAGAAACAGGCTCAGACGTGACTCCAACTTGTTCAGGGTCACACAGCGTGATTGGAGTCAGCATTTATATC